AAGAAAAGCTGGGTTTCGAAAAATTCATCAGTTATGCATTGTGACATGACTTTCCATTTCGAAGGAAAAGTTAGTTGAAAGGAATTCGTGAAATGGCCTCACCGGAAAGCGAAAAAGGTTTGCCGCGGAATGAAGACCGTTGGATCGTCCTCGGCTTACCATCCTGCGACCTCGATGAAACTGTGCTAGACTTTTGTATTTACCGCTATGACAGACATCAAAGCGAGAAGCCATACTTTACGAAATAGTGTAGAAATATGCTAGACCAAAAGAAAAGGATTCCTCTGCATAATCCAACAGTCTTCACTTCGCAGCAATCCTCCTTCGGTTTAAGGTTAGATCATTTCACAGAATCCTTCCAACCAACTTTTCTTCGAAATGGAAAGTCATGTCACAATGCATAACTGAGGAATTTTTCGAAACCCAGTTTTTCTTCATAATAAATAGATATTCTGACTCCACCGATTCTTACGAGTTATGAATATAGAGCGGTTACAAATAGCGAAAATGGCTTGCAGTATGGATAGGAAAATATTCACAAGCGACTTGCTACATATGCAAGAAGTAATCCTGTGAAGGGGAGATCTTTCGTATCATACATGAGGTTATCTGAACATAAAACGGGCTTGCAAAGGTTTGTGAGTCAAAAAATCTGAACTTGCTTACGACGGCCTACACACCAGATGGAGTGGTTTAAAGTATATAAACGTCAATCAAAACGTGAGACGTCTAATTGAGTAAACAAAGTTAGGATATACGAAGTGGGTGGAATTACAGTCGGCTACCTTTCTTGCTGCCGTTCGCAGTCGCATGGCGTCCTGCTCTGATGATGCCCGTGACATGAAGGACGAGAGTTCAGCACAAATTTATCGGGATCCCGGTACCATTCGAAAGGACCTATTTGCAAAAATCTTGTCAAAACACCAAACTAATCCTACCGCTGTTTCTGATGAGGCCAAGTTACGAATCCCTTTCAATCACCGCCTCAAACAGCATAAAGGCACAGCAGGATCAACAAATAAACCGGGACGCTATGAACGAGGAAAGAGTTACGATAAAGTGGTTGTGATATGAAATCATCAAGTAATCATGGACGAACTCCATCAAAATACAATATTGTAGATATATGGCATATGGTTTAGCTTACTTGGACAGGCTTTTTATACTTGAACCAGAAATAATGTTTTTACAGAGTACGAGACAAATGGACAAATAGGTTATATACTCGAAGAGCTGGCTTACTGCGAGAGATGGAATGAACAGGCCTGTAGGCACTTTGATGCCGAAGGTGAATACAGTGATGATTGTCTTCAGTACCAGAGCCAGTGCCAGAAGAATCATTGCCGAAGCCACTTGGGGTCCAGCCGGAAAGCCGAGCACTTGGCTGTGCGTATCACTGGTATTCACGCGATAATCACTAGATAACATAATTGAGACAAATGCAGGGTAGAATTAAATTGTTAATAAATATATTAGAATACAATGGTAATGCATTTACGTGTCGATGGTCAGGATATAAGAATAAATGAAAAATACACGCTCAAACATGGATATAGATGGATAGATATTGACAAGCAGTATGACTTGTCTTGTAGTAATGCGAAAAGATCGCGGATATTAACATAATTTAATGCATGAGCTAGAGAGAAAATAGATCGGTTCTTATAAACATTTAAACCAAGTCAAAAAATGGAATAAATTAATCAACTAATAATAAGGCAGTCGGACTTGTCTTCGGTATGCACTAACAAGTATTGATAAAACTTCTGTTGCTATGCCAAGCCAGTCAGCGAAAAAGAGAATTCCAGCTCGAACCACAGCATAGAAAGCCAAATGAGCGATCTGATGCTGGAAATTATGGACTACCTACTGGTTGCATTTAGTAAGGATTCCTTGTCACTACGAATAACTTGAAAAAATGAGATCAAATAAACTCTACCGTAGACATGAAAACCAAGATGTACTAGGTATGCTCCACAAGGCCTCCCTGATATTCCGGCCAAGCTGCGAAAACTAAGTCAAACCAACAAGTAGATACTAATCGGAATTAGTTCATCTAAGGTCAGGATAATTGGCTTGCTAA